CTTATCAGACTTTTTATATTTGATTCCTGAACTTCAAAAGGTCGGATTCTATACCAACGGGTGGCCATTTTTAGCCAAATTTTGATCCCTATTCCAGTAAAAGACTCGCAAAACACGAACTAAAGCAAAATTTTAAATTCCATTCCGGAAAAAGTTGTGTATTGGTGCTGGTTTTAATTTAAAACAAGCGCGACTTTTATGGCTCTCATACTGGCAGAGCCTTAGGGATTCTCCTGGTGGCCATAATTCGTATGTAAATAAGTCATGTTTTCGGCTCAGTTCAATATGTTGAGCTGAAACTTTTATCACGACTGTTTATAATGAAGACCAGTCATTCCTGAAAATTTCAGCTCAAGCGGACCTTTCTAAGTGACAACTCAGATCTGTGGGGGGTGAGGCTNCCCCCCCCCCCCCCCCCCCCCCCCCCCCCCCCCCCCCCCCCCCCCCCCGTAAATGAAAGAAAACCATTGCAGATATTTTCTTTTTCTTTTTCTGTTTAATTCAAATCGTTTGAATGAGTCATGAGGATGGACTGTTCCTGTCAGATTGCTTCACTTCAAGAACGTTGTAATTTCCATCATAATCTATGATATAACATCACTCTTGAATAAATCCCTACACAGAATAGAAGCCCACCCTCTGGGTTAGATTTCTCCCTTGAAAATCGAGGTTTACTTCATGAAAATTGAAAGAATGAACATTTCTCTATCAAATAACGGAAAAACTGGCACCAGGGCATACTTTGTTACAAAATCATAGCTTGTGGAACAGGGATATCACCCATGGGCTTCTATTCTATAGGGGAGTTTAGCTTTCGGAATATATGTGTTACAATTGGCACGAGAATTAAGTGGAGATTGGAATAATAGATTTAATTAAAGATAGAGAAAATAGACAAAAAAGAGAGCGAAGAAAAGAAAAGAAAACGATTTTCGAAAATCAAAATGCAAATAAACCCAGGTCGTTCCTGCCCGACCGTAAACGCCCGTACACCAATCATTTACGCTGGAAAACGGCATTCGTTTACAGTGGCCTTTTACGGCAGTCATATACGACGTTTTACGGCATATTACGTTAATCGTAAAACACTGACCGTAAACTTTCGCCTTTTACGACTACCGTACAAATACGGAGAAAGTAAACGATGCTCGGATAATGTCGGGAAATATCGTAAACGATAGCTACTTACAGTGGACGTTTACGACAGACATATACGACGTTTTACGGTGTATTACGTTAATCGTAATCAATGACCGTAAACGTTCGCCTTTTACGACTACCGTGAAAATTCGGCGACTGTAGACGACGGTCATGTGCGAAGTTTTACGAGGTATTACGTTAATCGTAAACAGTGAACGTAAACGTTCGACTTTTACAACTACCGTGAAAATACGATGACTGTAAACGACATTCAGAATATGCGATAACAAGGGGAAACAAACTGATTTCAATAGGCGAAATCAATCGAAATTGCATGAAATCGGACGAAATCATCGAAATCAGTAGAAATCATGGATATCATTGGAAATCGTTGGCAATCATGGAAATCATCAGAAAACAAAAGGGATTATTTCAAACAGCTAAAAATCATTCGAAATCATTTCAAACGATCTGAAAGGTTTCAAGTAAATTAGCCCGATTTCACATGATTTCTTTGATTTCTTAAACTTTCTATCGATTACCACAAAATCCGGATGATTTTTGATCATTTCTAATTATTTTTACTGATTTCTCATGATTTCTACTGATTTTGATAACTTTTTGGCGCCATTGCAAATCTTGAGGGTGTGGATGTGGGTGGATCTGTGTAAAACCGCTATTTTCCGTTAATCCACATTCGGACTCCCACAACCACGCCCTCAAGATTTATTTTCGTTATTAGTTATTCAATTCAGGGTTAGATTTAAAATCCACAATCTGAAATCAGATTTATCTTCGATTTCGTGTCGCGCAATCATTCACCTTCTTGTTTCGCTCGAGAGCTTCTATATATAGGCAGATTTTTCTTCGCCTTTAGTTATTGAGTTCAGGGATAGATTTAAAATGCGAAATCTGTAATCTGATTTATCTCCGATTTCGTGTCGCGCAATCATTCACCTTTTTGTTTCGCTCAAGAACTTCTATATAAAGGCAGATTTTTCCTTCGCTTTTAGTTCTTTAGTTGAGGGATAGATTTAAAAGCCGAAATCAGATTTATCTTCGAGTTCTTGTCGTCGAATCTTGTTTGACCACTTTCCCGATTCAAGTCAAGTAACATGTCCACGTTTCAGTTTGTTTTCCGGTTTTCCCTTAAATCCCTATTTATGTTCCAGCGAATTCTTAGTCTCTCAGAAACCACTTGATTTTCAAGCCGAAAGGTACTGTCTTTTTGACCCAGAAATGTAATCTTTCTCAAATCCAAGTGGAATCGTTTTGAGGTCTTTTTGAAATCTTATTGAAATATAAATGAAATCCATTTCAAATCTGAATAAAATCGTTTTGAAATCTGAATGAAATCCATGTCAAATCCAAATAAAATCGTTTTGAAATCCGAATGAAATCTGTTTGAGTTGCAGGTGAAATCATCGAGAGTAGCGAATGGAAAACGGCCGTTTACTTTGATGTACGGTAGTCTTGGTGGTCGTAAACGGCTGTGTATGCTAAGATACGGCGATATTCGTTGTCGTAAACTGTAGTTTCGTTCAAAATACGACCGTGCCACGGCACTGCTTTTAACGTTTACGGTAGTTGGGTTTCACCGTTTACGTCACAGTGGGTTACCGCCGTAATACGGGGCATACCAAACGGGTTATTTACGGCTCGTATACGGTCGTAACCCTGACGGTTACGGCCGTTTGCGGTATCGTGCACGGCCGTTTACGGCCACTGTAATGCTCGCCCTGGGTAAGTGATATGAACGATGTGGAAATTTTGTTCATGAGTTAAATTTAGCAAAGAATTTTCTAATTAATCATAATTTTAATTTCTTTTTCAAATTGGTGACCAAAACAAAAAGAAGCTTTTATTTCTTATTTTTCATTTATCTCAATGCGCTCTCATATCGCTTGTATGCGTCATATAGTAATTGCTGTATCTTGTTCAACTTATACTTTAATATTAAAAGGAAATAAAACACTCCGTTGATTATGATATTAATGTTACATCATCAAATAAACATTTATTTATCCTAGTTTTACATTCTAAAAAATTTAGTAGAATCTATTAAATTCTAATTTTTTTATTATCATTTCGTTATTATTTTGAGTTTTAATAATCGATCTTCGTCACTATGAAACAGACAATGATCAGCCATAAATCACGAAGTTTCTTTTATATTAACTTATTTATTTGTTTAACGAAGAACCATTGCTGATAATAACGCATCAAATGGGCTAATATAAGAAACTTCTTTATTAATTTCATTAAAAATTGAAAAAAAATCATTTACTTTCCTTCCATATCATTCGAATTAAAAACTGTTCCATCCCCATCCCAGCTGCTCGAGACCCGTACTTCGAAATAATGATAGCGAAAATCTTGTTCTTTTCTTCTAGTACAGAAAGAAAAAAAATCAATGTCCCTATGTCCCAATGTCCCGAGCATGAAAACATGAACATCTATTCAGAATCTTTGTCGTTTTTCTCTCTTCAATCAGCAAAAATAGGCACAATTAATTTTAGGAACAAAAACGTTTTTTTTTGAGTCTACATGCTGAATCAAATTATCTCATATTACTCACTAACCAAATTTTATGTCTATGAATCACTTTCTCACAACATTTATAGAATAATCAACAATTCCAATCTCAACTAAATTCTAAACTCTACTGCCACATATATATATATACAGAGAGAGAGAGAGAAAAGAAGACATCATTATTTAAACCTTTTCAACTCTAGTAAATGACTTCTACAATAAAAGATTCGCCACTATTTCATAAATACAAAAGAGAAAGCCATTTTATTCTTCATTCTCTTTCTATTAGTTAGATTTTGTTAATAAGGAACATCAAGCACCATTTTTTCCTTCTGCGATCTAACCAACAACAAAAGACAAGAAAAAACAAATAAATATAAAACTCTAGAAAATGACTTCTACAATAAAAGATTCGCCACTATTTCATAAATACAAAAGAGAAAGCCATTTTATTCTTTATTCTCTTTCTATTAGTTAGATTTTGTTCATAAGGAACATCAAGCACCATTTTTTCCTTCTGCGATCTAACCAACAACAAAAGACAAGAAGCATCAAAGTAATAGCATTACGGTGCATATATATCTTCGAAAGGAAATATCGTTTAATCAAGTATTTAACCTATAGACTTAAAAGAAAATGCATTAGAGAAAAATCGATTCTATTATGAAAATAGGTCAGCCGTCAAAATATATAGATCTAAGAATATAAAAAGATGCCGGTTAGAAAGTTTACGATTGAGTTCAAAATTATGACAGTAAGGAGTAGTTTTGACGAAAAAATAGAAAGAAAAGAATTCTCATTAATTTTCTTTTGTTTACAAATGCATCTTGCTTCAATGTTTCTTTGAATTATAACAAAAGATTTCTTCTATTATGCAAGTATTTTATTGAATGAAAGACATTATAAATTTATATTTTTAAATTTTTAACACATTCTCCGAGAAACTAGAAAAAATATATGATGATCTAATACATTTTCTTATTTAAAAAAATACTATTAGCTACAAGGTGAGTACAGGTACTGCCCACTGGTGTCAATGAGAATAAAAATAAAACATTTATTTGTGGTACAAATTATTTCATGTCAACGTTGAGAATAATAAATAATTCATCAATAATATATGAATTTCATTACAGCAGTATGAACGAGTAACATATGAAATTTTCGAGACTTACTACAAACGATATATTTATCTATGGAATAGCAGTCATGTTAATGTTAATTTTTTTTATTAGGAATCAACTATAATAGATTCTGTTTGGAACAAACAATCACGCGTATATATTTTATCTGACATCGAAAAGCAACAACAAATTATCATTACTATGAATGTAACAATAAGTGAAACAGAAAATCTCGTTGTTTTTAAACGTTTAATTGAAGGTTATCTTCTCTCATTTGTATGTATAATTGGTCTTATTGGTAATTCAATAACATGCGTATCGATATTAATAAATCAAATTCGTCGATCATCTCCAACGGATATTTATATATGTGGTTTATCATTTATATCAATGTTTGTACTTTCTGGATTTTTACTTACACATGGTATTCGTGCACTGTTCAATGTATATGGTGAAATCATTCATCGATCTTTATTTACAATAGTTTTTCCAGCTCATCTTACATGTCTATTAATTCAAATATATTTAACAACAGCTATATCCATCGATAGATTTTTGTTAATATGTTATTGGCGAAAACTTTCGTATCGAAAATGGCGAACACCAAAACGAATCATATATATTATAATTAGTATAATAATATTTGCCATTATATATTGTTTACCATTTTGGTTTGAACACGTTGTGATCGACAATCAATATATAAGTTTAAGTACAATTGGATCCCAACCATTATTTCGTTTGCTAATGAGAAAATATCTTTATTTTATATTCGTCTTTCTTTTGCCAATGTCATGCATTATGATATGTACATTATCAATTATACATACACTTTGCAATCTATCGAAGAATAAATATAGAAATCGACCACATTCTTTTCAAAGGAATAATAGATCAAGAAAAATTCATACATTATTATTATTAATAATGATCATATTTTTATTAACACAATTGCCGTATTTTCTATTTAATGTTATCTATGCCTTGCAAGGACCAAATTTCATGGAAAATCTACGTGCTAGACAATTTCTAGTTATTAATAATTTACTTGCGAGTATGAATGCGTCAACTACATTTATTTTATATGCACTTTTTGGAACGAAAAAACAAGCTAATCACTTACAAAATGTTTAGAACTAAACATTAAAATGTTTGTATGTAGTGTAAAAACAAATTCGAATTGAATGTTGTCTATGATTTATTGTAAATGATTCAAGTGTGGCTTTCGTTTTAATGAAAACTTAATCGTCGTTCGAAATAAAATAAAAAATTATTTATTGAAAATATTCTTTTTCTTCTGCGTTTAGATTGTTGGATCATGCATATTTGAGCGAGTGTAGTAGCACTTTAAATGATGTGGCATTTAAGAATGAACTAAATTTTAGTTGCATGTTAAATATATGCCGGATTAGTATAGACTGTGTGAAAAATCTATAGTGGCATGTTTTTAGACAATGGCTATAAATCATTACTCCTATCGTGATCTAACAAAAACTATTCTAGTTTCAGTGGGAGACATTTTAATGAAGCACAATTGTCTATTGACATAGCTTGTTTATAATTAGAAAAGGGCATTGTGTGTATAAGTATCTTCCTCGAAAAGTCTGCTCAATTAAACAGATACAGATTTTGTGATGCATTATAAGTTCTAAACTCAATGCAGTTAGAACAAAGATATTTTTTTAGAACGCGAAATGCTCTTTAGACTAATGGTAATTTTGAAAGAAGATGTTATCATCGACATCGTTCTTAGCTTGATGTATGTTTTTATATTGTTGAATTTTTTCCTAACAGAGACCGTCACAGGGCAGTCCTGCCCTGCTCTGCCCTGTTTCAGGACAGGGCGAAAAAATAGAAAGTTGCCCTGCGCCATGATAATTTTTCCTATAAACTGATATACAGCAGATTTTTCAGTCGATTATGCTGACATGGTGATGGATTATAATGTATGTCATTATGCGCCAGTCACTGTAAAATTTGTTACTATGTCTAGTTCGGACAATACCAGTTTACTCATTTATTATCATATAATTCAATTATAAAAATAAAATACTGCTTCAAAGAGAAATGCAAAACTTGGTAGAATCATTTAATATTGTATAAGAGAACGAGCTAATTTAAGAATTATGTGTATGATGCGCTTTTTTTCTAAATGATTTCAGACATGAGCTTAGTGTTCCAGAGGAAATTTCACTTAAAGATTCAACATGTTCTAATAGTAAATTTCATCGCATGCTTTAGTTTTGTATGCTTAGTTCTCTATGTTTTAAATTATTTTCACTTGATATGAACTCGCCCGGTTCTACAAAATTAGAAAATCTCTTGTTTCATGATAAATCTTACCACCCCATAATACACAATGAATCTCTTGCTACTGGTACATTTTGAAGAGTCTTTATTTATCCAGCACGATGAGTTGATGAGAATGAATGTGAAAGATTTACTCGGTTTCTCACTTATTCAAATTATATACATGTTTAATTCGCCAGATCATGATAAACGCATTATTTTTGCAGTGAACTGATTTTTGTGATAATCTTAATTGCTGTTTGCTACTCATATTTAGTTATGTTTTAAGCGCATATCTATATTTTCTCGAATATAGATAAATAAAATATGAGTACTTTACTTTTCAGCGGTCACAACACTTTCATTTAGTCTTTACCTTTTTCAATATTTCAGTTCAATTTATAATCATGCCCTGCCCTGCCCTGAGACAGGGCAGGGCAGGGCAGGGCAAAAAATGTTGCCCAGTGACGGTCTCTGTTTCCTAATACGATTCGATCATAGAAAATGAATAGCATAGATAAATGGTTTTCTTCAAAACTGGCTAGACAGAAAATATTTCTTTGAATAGCACAATATATAAAATAGAATGATGCACATAGGAATTGTTTTTGACATGTGCTGCATTTTATATCTAGTTGTTAAACGCTAGTTTATCATAATTGTTGATTGAGATATGTTCATAGAAAATTATCAATTCTGTATAATATTTTCAAGATGATCTGTCTAAAAAGATTTCAGCATATGCCCCAACGTAATGAAAAAATGTCCTCTAAAAAAATATGTGTTCCTTCGGGATACATGATAGGTTCTTGAAAAAAAAATGTGTTTCTTTTCTAGTCTTATTTATAGAACTATCATAATGCGTTACAATGATAAATCGTCAATTTTAAAACAAAAAACAATGTTTAACTGTGATCTAATTTCGATTTATAAATTTTCTTGATTTGAATAAAACAGCAAATGTGACGCCTATATTTTCAAAATTAAGAATAAAATACAGTTAGCGTCTATTCAATTAGAAAAATATTTTATTGAGAACTTTTGACAAATTAAATAGACCGATGAGAATTATTTATACTAAAAACAATAGTTTTGAGAACAATGCGTACGACTTCCACCGGTACACTTAAATAAAATAATAATAAAAAATTCTTTGTCCTATTTACAGTAAAAATTCACACGCTATCAATAATTGTCTTATTTATAGATTATCATTAAGGGCATGGTAGCATTTGAAAAATTTGCATAGATAACTTTATGATAATTTTAAATTGAAGTGCGAAAGTCAATAAAAATTATTTAAACATAATACTCAAGTGTTCAACGATTGTTTAGTCTCCATGAGCCATTTCTTTTTGTCTATAAGATGATTATTTATTCCAAGTTAAAAATTCTTCATAGTAAGTCGAACGTCGAAATAACATGACTGTATGACGACATGACCGTGTTTTATTTTCGTTAATTGAGTATTCGCCAGGTGGAGTTCGACAGAAACGAAAAATCAATTACAAAATTTGTTTCCAATCTACTGCTGAAAGGAAGTATCATATATTACTATGCTACTATTTTATTTGACAACATTTACAAATCATGAAAACAAGTTCTGTTGATGATTCTCAGTCTGACTGTATGTCATTAGCAAACGACTTCGTTGGTTACTATCTGCATCCGTTAACAATTGAACTAAACCGAAGAGTCGAACAAGATACTTTTGATGACAGATCTTCAACAACATTATTACAATCTTTTTCTGAGATGATTCACAGAATTATCGACTGGCTGCGAGATCATAATCGAAAATAAACTGTGATTAAAAATCTAATTGACTGAAATTCATTGTATTTATTTTCTCATTTATTGATAACATTATTGAAATAAATAAACTAGAATTAAATTAATTATAAAAATACAAAAATTGTTTATTGACGAAATAGAAACTCCTAATCACTTTTCGACTTTAAAAAGATATAGTTCTGCAACTCGAGAGGAGAAAATCGAAAGTTAATGCATTATACTGATCCTCATCGATGCCAATAAAGACTTCGACTGCGATTTACTCTAGGCATGAATGTTGGATAATAGGCAGTCTGTAGATTGGGATATAATTTCATCGTCATCATCGATCTTTGTAATGCAAGCATTTGACTGTGTCTTTTATCTTTTCTATATTGTTCATCAAAATTATGACCAGGTACAACTAATCTACGTACAGTTGGTTTATGATTGGTACGTGGAATGATATCAGTTATAGCCCATAAACCATCTAAATAATTGATAAGACGCTTCTCTATTAAATATTGATATGGAATATAAAAATAACCATTGATTCCCTACAATACAAAAAAGAAACAACACGAATCACGATGAATATTTTGTTTTTATATCGAGAGAAAAAGATTTGTTTTTACTGCTTACCCAATCTCTTCCCCACGAATTTCGTACAATAAAATGTCCTGTCCGATCATCATAACCAACAACTAACACGGCATGCGTACCAGTTGAAGCAACAGTAGACGAGGATGGATCAGGCATCGATATATATCCATGATTTCGTTTCACTTCAGCTGTTGCCTTGCCTAATAATTTAATACCAATGAGAAAAGGAACTTGATTAGCTAAACAAGTTTTCATTGCAACTAAATTTCTTGGAAGTTTAAGTGGAACAACTGTTACACGACTTGCAGCATCATACACATCTGGTGGAGGTTCTTTATTAAGTAACTCTTCATCATATGGCCACAGTCGTTCTTCGCATATACCGAATTTTCGCATTCCTAAAACTGTATTCTGTTTTGAAGCTCCATCATCAGTGACTTCAAGACTTCGTTGATCAATCATTTGACCATTATAATAAATAAATAAACGTGAAACATCAATAAGTTTACCGGTTTGTCGTTTAATAATATATTCGCATGCGCCGGCAAAGGCATTAGCAGCACTACAAAAGAGAATTTCAATTGAGAAGAAAACCAGATTATTTTCATATACCAAGTAGACATATCAGCTTGATCTTCAACTGGTGTCATATATGGTCGAAGATCAACATGAGCTGGTAAATGATTGTTTGAAAATTGAAGTGGACGCATTCGCCGAGCGTCACCATCAGCGGCAGCTGATTGATACCACCAAGACTGATTAGCAGGCCACATATTCTTTGAGTTTATATGACTATTTAAATATTGTATAGATATAAAAAGAAAGATAGAACTATACTATGCGCACACTCATACAACTAAGTAAAATGGTTGTATAAAAAAAAACAACAACAGAAAAATATCATTCAACTGTGACCATTTATGATACACAATGCTCAAGGCTGTATCGATGATTTATCTTCTACGTGGGTGATAATTTCCATCAAAGCATATTCAACAAAAACTGACTAATATTTATAAGAGAAAGAAATTTTTGTTTCAACTAATGTCATGCACATTTCGTTTGCGTTTTATGACTAATTAAAATAAATCTGTGAAATCACTGATAGTTATTCACTTCAGGAGCGAGAATATTGCATGATAATATTCCGTATCTATTAATAAATCTATTTAAATTATTTCTTCCTTCAAGAACAATGCAGTCATATGGAACGGTAGCCTCGATAGATACATAGTTCTTTTTTCATTATTTTAATCATGAATAAAGGTCGAAGTATAAGTCAAATAATCGATGCATATACATATATATTTATTTATACACAACCATTCGTCTGTAACGAACATGTGACATGAGTAGACGAAAAAGAAGAATCCTTCAGTATGCAATCTAATTATATTGTCTGTTGTCCAAAGGCCAAGTAAATTTATGTAGTAGCTTGTGCATATTGGATGTGAACATGATGTTGCCTATTTAATTGCAAAAAGCCAAAAATTGTTTTGATATTGTCGATTTTATTTAGATGGAAATATATTTCAGTTCAAAATAATCAAATATAATGTTATTTCTATGAACAACGATGTAAACATTAAATAAATTCAAAATTTAAAATGATTGTACCTGGTGACTATAGATAATGGGTATAATGATACTGTTCTTTCTACTGCACAATGTTTTTCATTACTTTTATCTTTGAAATATATGCTAATACGAGACTGTAGCTAATATTATGTGTAATTTATGTGTATGGGCGGAAATAATTTTCAAATTATGTTTTGACATTAAGATAACATCGAATTTTATGACCAAAATTATTTGCCCAATGTTCTCAAAATCAACTTAGACTAAAAAGGAAAATCTAGACAATTGAATTCAACAATGATATAAATACTTGTACATAGAATTAAGATCTTCAACTATTTTGAAGAATAGCGTAAAGATTCCCTTCTTCTTTGAAACAAATACATCATTGAATGTTTCATTCTGTTAAAAAGATCGAATCTGTACGCCAATTTTCTGAAATTTGAAGATCCTTCAAATACTTGGCATGTGTATCATCGTATTATGTTCTCAAACACAAAAGGAAACTGAATCTTGTTGATTTATTTTGACAATCATATGCGGAAGTAATCGTAGACTTAGTGTAGACGTCGACATATAGTGATTCTAAGGTAGAGGCACCACAAATGTCAGAGTAAAATAATGTTTTTGCCACTGAATCTCTATGTTTTTCACTTAAACAATGTGAGCTTTTACTAATTAACGCGTAAATTAAACGCCTAACATCAGTGAGACTAATACACAAAGCACTAGATCCTATGCTCCTTGATTACACTTTCTGGACTATTAAAAGAAAAGATGATAAAAACAGGTTGAGGAAAAATAAGAACTCATTTTATTACGATAGATGTTTGTTCGTCGGTATAAACGCGATGATGCAAGTGTTCACTGTTTCATAAAACTTCGAATATAGTTATTAAAAGTGCGTCTACTGATTTGAGTCTTGTATCTTTTCCAGTTCACTATCCTCGTGAGCAAAATTACCTGTGAAACAAGGAATGATGTAAAACTTTTGCTGTGTCCGATAATATAGCCTATTCAATTTATTTTTGTTTACATATAGTTCGAACCATAAACAGCTACAATTTATTAGAATATCCTTATATGTGCAAGTACAATTAGCAGTTCACTAGAGTATTTGTCCTCTTCGAAAAAAGTCAAATTTAATCATAAATACTAAATTTAAAATTTAAAATTAGTACCGGGACACTTTTTCATTAGAGAAATCCTTTACTTAGATACAGATAAATTAAGAAAACGAAACCAGTCAATACTTTATTATATTTTCGCAATTAGAATCAACTTTTTACTCTTGACAATAAATCCAATTGATTATAATCGAACAACCATTTTCATATATCAGAAAGATATTTTATGCCTGTAAAACTCGAACACCGATTAAGTTATTAAAAAATATACTATTGAGCTCACATCATTAGTTTTATTTTATTGTCACTTGAACAAGACCAAGGTAATACATATATATTTAGTTATACAAATAATAATTAGAAAGCACATACACTACATAAGACTGTTTAAAAAAAAATATCGAAAAAAGATAACAATTTTCATATATATGTGAGAGAAGGCTAAACAAAATGCTAGTGTAGATTCTGTAAAATGCACTCAAGTTTTTTTTCAAGCAGAAAAAACAGATCAACAAGGATAACAACATAAACATTCATCTAATTTTATCAATTGCGTTCATGTTAATGGAATGATGAAAAGAAGAAAAAAATTGCCTATCGGATTGTTAATGTTCACAGATCATTATGTTGTTCTAGAAAAAAACAAGATAGATCATTTTGAATTACTTTTCGACAAATATTTACCTTCAGTTGAAGGTGGCGTCACGGTAGTTGTTTCTTCAGGTTCAGAAGTTGAGGTAGTCGATGATTTGTCATCGTCTGCTTTATTTTGATTATTTACTGGTACTTTTGGTGTTGTGGTTTTCGGTTTAGGAACAAACCGTTGAGCTTTATTTAGTAAATAATTTGTTTCACGTTTAAGTGCATTAGTTTTATCATCAATATCAGTTGATAAATATTTTGGTGTATCAGTTGGTGATAGTTTAGCAAATTCAGCTAATACTTGATCAAGCCAAGTCTAAAATTTTTATAATAAATTATTTCATTAGAGGAACTTTTAAATAAGCAGTATTCTTTTTAATTCTAAGCTTTTTGACGAGAAATTATTGGCGATTACAGATTAAAAAGCATGGATAATAGATCTTCAGGAAACCACAACAATCCTAGACCGATATTCTAGATTTCATAAAAAAGAAATTATCGTTGAATGAACGACGTGTTTCTTTTTAAATCTTTCTTTGTTCTATGATTTAGTTCGCTAAATGTTCCTGTGATCGTTTCTTCAAACATGCCAATGTAAATGTCACCGATGTTTTTCATGATAAACATATGTTTTTAATTAATACCGTTAAGGAAAAAATGCGTTCCTAAACGTTTCGCAAATATTTCAGACATTTTTTACTTACATATGTATCTTTAATTGTTTTTTCTAAATATTTAAGTTCTGCGTCGGTAAACGGCTTTTCATCAGTGTCTGTTTTGAAAAGTACACTGCGTGTTGCTCGAAAAAAATGTTCGGTCATATTAAGAGTGTCTTTAAGTTCTTGAAGTTTTTTTGGACGTAATTCAACTTCACGTACACGTATTTTTAATGATTTTGTTAAAGTTTTCAATTCATCTAATTTTGATTTTAATGCCTATTGAATAAAAGTTTAAGATATCAATTAATAAACAATGGATAATAATTAACATTTACTTTTACATCAGCATTAACACCGTCCTCCCATAACCATGCATCAACTTCTGCTAATTTTTCATTGATTTTTGTTCGCTCATGTGATGTTGTTGCTTTTTTATATCTTTGATCATGTTCAAGTTTATCACGAGCATCATAAATGAATGTTTCAAGATTATTCTTAGCAGTTGCTAAAGCTAATAATTCACGATCATGAGCATCCAAATCAGATAGTCTAAATAATTCAAAGTTAATGTCAAATTATTATTTAAAAAAAAGAATTTCATTGCTATCCCCAACGCAATCTTTATGCAGCGAACCTATCTAACACAAACCAGTTCGTAAGCTTTCTTGCATTAATATAAAATACTCAAACTAAAACGTCTCGAGGAAAATAAAATTCTTTTTCAACAATTATAAATCATTCAAGAATTGATCTGTCTTACTGGCTATTAGCTACAATACGAAGTCTTGTAATTATCAAGATATTCTAGAAAAGTATGAGTCAACTTCTTGCTCTTTTTATTTCATAATATTTCGTATTATTTAAACATTACTTTTTTTTTGATTCAGTTTGCGCTTCTTCTGATGGGTCAGGATAATCGAGTAGATCGATTTTAAATTTTAATGGTTCACGAGCATTCATCTGTTTTGGTGTTGTTGGAGTTGATGCTGTGGTCGTTGTCGATGTATCATTTGTTGTATTAGTAGTTTCTAAATTTTTCAAAAAACACAAAATAAATTATTGAAAAAATTTTTTTGAAACAATTTTACCATTATTATCAAGAGGCTTTGTTGATGGTTCATCACTAGTTGTTTTTGTTTCTTCCTAATAAAGAAAATAATTATTTTGCAGATAAAATAAAAACTTTCTTACATTCTGTTCATCTTCATCTCCTTTCTTTGTTCCATCATCGCCAGTTTTAGATTTGAAAAAACTTGAAATTTTACTCCCTATTTCTGATCATCAAAGAAACAAAAATAATTGATCTATAGATATAAAACAAAACTTGTAATTTTACTTGATAATGTTGATTGTTCATCTTTCGTTATTGCTTTATTTTTATCTGTGTCATTATCTTTTCTTTCAAAGACAAATTCAATCTTGGAAACGAAAAAAGAAAACCTTCTTAATCAACGAAAAACACACCAATAAAAATAAATTTTATGAACATACTCGAGTAAGAACAAGAAGTGAGCTGTCATCTAGTTCGAAATGTGCTTTGATACCTTTTGATTCCATTGTATCTTTGTATTTATCATATGCTGTTCGAACACCAGTAACATCTATTCGTGATAAGTCTGTTTGACCAAGTGCACTACAATAAATATTCAAAAAAAAAACATAATTTTCTTTACTTGAAATAAAAACCCTTAGGTTTTTTTTATACCGTCTATCAATTAACGAAAGATATGTTAAATTTCCATAATAAACATCAAATGAAAAATCATCTGTATGTTTATTAAATGTCATTACTTTCCGATGTGGAAAAGTATTATTACGATTAAATAGTGTTTTATCAAGTATTCTTTGATCGGAATCATCATTTTGTCGTTCAAATTTGACATTGATTGGATATTGATTGAAATCTTTTACAAGAAATTTTTTTACACGATAACCTTTTGTAAGTGCTGTAGCTTGAAAAACTGCACCCATAGCAGCAGCTTCGTCAGTATTTAGACTTTTACCAAGCTCTACTCTAAATAAAATTGAATAGGAAGAAATAGCTACTTATCGATATGAAACAATATAATTCGAAAGATACCCGCCGAGAACTTTCGTTAATTCATTTTGAACTCGCGGAATACGTGTTGCACCACCGAATAAAAGTACTTGTTGGATTTCACTCTGAAAATACATTTAGTCATTTGATTCTACAATATTACTAAAAGACTTTTCTCAAGCTAATATATTTCGTCAAAATAGAAAACATGTGAACTCATTACGACAGAGCATCCTTTCAGTTTCAGAGAAGGTAGATGTACTCAATCAATTTAAAGTATGTTTGAAAAGTAAAGTTCAAAATAATGCACTCGTTTGAATCTTACCAATTTAATTCCACTTGTTGTAAGTACTTCTTGAACAGGCCGTTTAATTCTTTCAAAAAGATCTGTACATAAATTTTCAAATTCTTCTCGTGTGGTTTGATGTTTAAAATCGATGTCGTCAATTAAACCTTCTACTTGTGCTGTATATTCAACATTAGCACTTAACACATGTTTCGCTCGTTCAGCTTCACGAAATAATTTTGTTAACGCTTTAGGATGTTTATATAAATCAATTTTTGGATGTTTCTCATGAAATTTCTTTGCAAAATAATCTCGTAAACGTATTTGAAATTCTAAACCACCTAAATCCCGATCGAATGCTACTGTTTTTATTGTTAATTGTGGAACTTCTTCGACATAACCATGTTCTTTTATTTTGACAACATTGAATGTTGCTATGGTGCATGTTGTTGATTGTGCACCCATATCATAGAATAAATATGTTGAACCAGTAGCATTGAAATCTTTACGCCGATATATACCATAGTTAAGTGCCACAGCTGTATTATCATTCATTAATTGAAGTACTTTGATATTTGCTAATTCACATGCGCGCTTTATGGAACGTCTCTCGGATTGTGTGAAATACGGTGGAACAGTTACAACGGCAGAATCAACTGATTGTTCAGCAAAATCTGTTGCATATTCACGAGCTTTTTTTAATATCATTGAAAGAAGTTCTTCAACTGTATAGTTTGTTTCACTAAAAATTAATGTTAAAAAAAAACAAAAGAAACTATTTCCTGATTAAATATAAGTTTCATCGTAAGCATAACTAAAAACCATCCTGAATTAAATAAATATAGATAATCAACTATTTAAGAAACCCTAAAGAAGATCTATTGCAATTGTCTGTTATATATTCAATAATTAAAAACATCTACTAGGTTTTATACTACTAACGCTATCATGTGTTGTTGATCAAAATATGATTGCATAGCGGTAGACTTCGATTATTTTCTTCTACTTTAAATTGTAGAAAGAATAGAAGTAGTGATTCAATTGACTATCAGGTGCTAAAATAGAACGTATTCCAAAGATGCGAATTCCATGTTTTCAACACGCTAAAGATAGTTTTATGTTTAATAACTGAAGCAAAATAAAGCTGAAAAGAAATCGTTGCAAAACTAGACTTCTTCGAGGTCTCTATTATGTGTCTATTTACAGTAACATCACAGAAGCTCTTAAATTTGTTTTTGATTAATTTCTAAATAATAAACATTTTTTGATCTCCAATCAAACTACGATAAACAGTTCAAAGAAGTCTCATCTAGTAGAACTTTGTTTGCTATGAAGTCCTCTTTATAACTCTTAAGTTTTCATAGAATCGTATGTAAGGTGATGTATCACTACAAATGAAGATTATAGATATATAATGACAATCGTTTTTTAATCAACCTAATTGTACGACTACTTCTTTGCACATTAGAGAGTTCTGTTCTTTCTTTACAGTACATTTTACGTCACTACTCACACAATAGTCAACTAGAATAAGTATAATTGTTATTACCTGTCATGTTCGAAAACAAGTTGACTAGAATGTCCATCTATGTTTAATTTATAATAAGGAAATCGTTTTAAATATTGTTCAATTATTGGATTATTCAATGATTTCCCTACTAATTCACGTAAATACATATAGGATTGTGCTGGCATTTTAGTTGACTAAATAAGAAAATGACAAAAAATAGAAAATAATGTTTCATAAAGAATCCTTACTCGAGATATAGCCGCTTCACCAAACTCACGATCTTTGCCTTTAATAGCAACGATAACTGGAGTTTTTCGACGACTTTCTCTATTGAAATAAAAATTCTCAGTAAATAATGATAAAACTCTGAACATATTAAATGAAACCTACTTATTTAAAACAATTTCCATAGGTATCCCTGGTTTAACAACAGCTATTTTGGTAAATTCTGTACCAAGATCAATTGACATCACAGCAAGACTATCAGCTGTGAATACAGTTGATGTAGCAAAAATTAGACAAGCAAAAAGAATTAATTGTGAATGTATCATAATTACAATCTAGAAGTGAAAATTTAAATAATATAGTATCTATTTTAAAATTCACCATCACTACTTTTCTATTACATAAATCTATTATTGTTTATCAAGAGTAATCATAAAGCAAAAAAATTAATCTACAATCAAATGTTAGATAACATTTATAAATAATTTTTTTTTCTTGGAAAACATTGTACTGCTTGATTTGATGCGCTTTGATTGATGATTTTCATCATATACAAAAATATTGCATTGTATTGCATTAAAACGACTTGATAGTTTCTATTGAATGTGCATGATTTATAAAGAATGACTTTGTACGTATTCACATGACACCGAACTCAATGCACTGCACGATAATAATACATACCTCGTGCTTATATATGTTATTAAATTAGACATATTAATAGAGAATTTTGAAACATGTTTGTTTGTACTAATGAACAAGTTGAAAGAAATCATAGACAAAATCATAAAGAAAACTAAAAATTTAGTCTCTATCTACGATTATTTTCATCCGTTTTCTTTTCACCATGTGCCTAATATTTTATTCTTATACTATTGTGTTGTAATGCTTGAAAGAGTAAGTTTTAATAGAGTTGCAGACTGTAAAAAAATTGAGTGATATAAGAGTCATTGTTTTAAATTGCTTCCTAGTTGCGGCTGCTGTCAGCCGGGAAAATCTATCTTTTTTTAAAAGGAAATTCAAATATTGATGGAGTAAATTCAATTAATATAATGGAAAAAAGTATTCTTACTGTGTTTAAACTCGGCAAGGCACAGTTGGCTGATTTTTTACATTGAATTGCAGGCAAGACTCAACAAATTAGATATTGAAATAGTAACCTCCAATAAAGTCATTTCGGATAGATGGAGTAAGTTAGTATTATTGGACTCTAAGTCTTATCATGCATAAATCCTTTGCAGAACAAAGACTTAATGGTTTTCGATTTTCACTTGAATACTGAATGCGGTGCCAATTTCGAATAGAATCTACTAGGGAAAATCGTAAATTCAAAAAAATTTTAAATAATTCTTCTTAATAAACGATTTTGATTGAACGACTACGTGTGTCTACTATTCATTATCTTAGTTAAGTTGTAGACTCAAGTGAACGATTTATGGTCGAAAATGGCAAGAAACGATAGTATATGTTAGCGTTTTCGGCCATATACGATCGTTTCTGGTCGCCGTAACGCTCTACGTGGGAATACTCTTCCAATGATTACCGCTGCATTTATGTTGCTGCAACAGATATTTGCGAACATATCATTCGTTAAAATATTATTATATAAAAGTATCTCACCAAATAACTTGTTATTGACAATCCGTAAATGATTGACCTATGATTTGTGCACATGACACTTTTTCGAAAGAAAACAACAGAAATTTCCTAAGAGTGAACGAATTAGTTTACTTAAATTACAAGTTCAATCAGACTGTTTTCATAGAATTTGAGATTCCTTTTTTGCTGTTTTATTTTTACTTTGAAACATTTGTTGAAAACATGATCAGCATTGAATATTCATGAAATGAATACTTTTCAAACTTCTATTATATGTAAGTTCGCACTTTTATGTACTCAAAAAAAGTGAGTACACTCTAGATTTGGTTAGTGTGTCTGTCCGGTCGTTAACACGATAACTTTTGAAAGCCTCATCTAATTGTCATGACATTTTGTACACAGAATGATCTCATCAATGTCTCAGTCGAGTTCGAAGATGAAAGCAATCCATCAAGAAATGACCGAGTTATCGAAAAAATTGTCATTATTGACCAGACCATCCTCGGGGGGNGGTAGTTCGGTTGATTTTGTGGAAGCAGTATTCCGGTTGGAAAATTTTCGGATTTTTTCCGGTGATTTCCGATCAATTCCTGCCGGAAAGCACCGGAACTTGGCAGGAATCCGCCGGAAAAGTCCGGCTGCATTTTTGATCGGGATACTGCTTCCATGTTCCAGCGATTTCCCGTGTTTTCCTGCAGGATACGGTGACTTTTTCGCATATTTCCTGGAGTATCCTACGGGATCCGGTGGTCGGAATGTTCAAACTGATTACGATATTTTTCTTCATTATCAACATCAAAATATTGATTTACTTTTAAATCAATTGATCATCAATTCATTACGTGTCATTTCACACTAGCACCTGGAATTATATCAGCTTGCATCTCAACTACTTCCAACTCTGATTACGACTTAAGTTCTATCTGTTGCCAGCCCACCGATATTCATTCTTCATATTCTCGACGTCAGCATCCAGCTACGTCTATTGGGTTTTCGTATCAGATTCCATCAACATCAGCATTTGTATCACTTTTCTTAACACTATCAACAGCAATGTCATCGGCACAACGTTCTTATTTTGGTCAATCAACTTTACCTGCTGAATCCCTTATTTCATCGTCAGCATCCAATCATCAGTTACTACATCCTTCACTTACAACTTTCGATACTGATATTCTAATGTCTCAATTTGCTCCAATTACTAACTCTTCCATCGTTCAACATTCATCTCAATTACATCCTAATTCAACCTTTCAGACTGCCATTGAAAATTTACAACAACAAATGAGTGTACTTTCTACTCAATTTGCTCATTTGACTTCACGTTCATCGGTTGTTCAATCTGTACCCCATAAATATTGATTCACACGCATCATCCTGCCAATCACTTCATGTTGGTCATCATTCTGATACATTATCTGAACGTTTACTACGACACGAAGCTGAAGGTCGTCGTCTTAAACAGGAACTTGCTTAACGTTCACAACACAATAACAACAATCATCCTATTTTACATTCCATACATTCATCACCACCAACTGCTGTTACATCTGCTCACATTTCATCATCTTCTTCACCATTCAATCCAATACATTCATCACCTAATTATCAATCAATATCTAGCTCTCACTTTTCTTCAGCATTTCAACCTATTTTTAAACCATTGTCTCCAACGTTACCTAATGCTACACCTACGGTTATCGTTCAACCTAATATTTTACCAACATCTACCGTCATCAACAATTCGGCCAACATTCAATCTACGATCCCATCAACATTACCCATACATGTTCCACCAATCAACACAATTCAAACATCTCTCTTCAATAATCCAAATGATATTAATTCAATATCGTTACAGCCACCGATGATATCATTACCAACTACAATATTACACCCTTCATTCACAATGAATCTCAATAATAATCTTCCAACTTTTAAAGGTTTAACTCATGAACGACCAATTCAATTTATAAACAATTTTGAAATTCGTGCATCAACTCTCGTCGGTAGTACTGACTTACTTTTTCTTCTTCAAACGGTTCAATAAGTACTATTCGACGGTGCTCTTACTTGGTTTGGTCAATTACAAAAATCTCCAGATCGTGTTAATACCTGGAATGATTTTAAATTTCGCTTCTATGAACGTTATCATACGCCTGCCAAAGTACAAAGTCTTCACACCGAGCTACGCTTATTTTTTCAAGATGATGATGAAAATACATTAGATTAGTTTGAACGTCTGAAAACGTTGATGACTGAAATTGATCCTGACTGCAGCGATCATTGGCTCAAACATAAATTTATTCAAAAACTTCGATCTAATATCCGTACTCGTCTATATGTTGATATTAATTTACCAATTCGTGATATTGTTCGTAAATCTCAGAATATCGAATCTAGCATTGAACAACAGAAGGTTGATGAAAAACTCAAGTTAGTTGCCAATCAAGAGAAGAAAAATATACCAAGTCTTCTTACTAACAATTTATCCATCAATAGCAACAATCATCAACCGCTATCATCTCCACCTACAAATAATTTATCTAGTTCGCGTTATACCAGCGATAATATATTTTCAACGCACAATACTTCAAACCTTAATACTTATAATAATCAAAACAACTTAAACAATAACTCCAATAATAATTATAATTTTCGTCCTAACAGGGAAAAAAATTACAATAATTTGTCTTACGTTAATAATTTTAATAAGCCTACCAATCAATACAACAATAATTATAATAACAATAACAATAACAATAACAACAATAATCAGAATCATAATAATAAAAATAATCCTAATCGCATTAATCGTAACAGCAACTATAATAATAATACTAATCATAATTCTATCGGCAACCACCCACGTTCTATTCTTAATTCTTACAATTCTTCCAACAATTCCACTCGATCACGTCCGCCACAATCCACCAATCTAGACAACGGCAACCGTTCATCAACTAGCAAAACAACTCGTTTGTGGTGTTCTCATTGTCAACGACATGGACACTCTTATGAACGATGCTCATCCAATCCTGACAGTATTAATTACCGACCAAATTCATCTTCATATCATTATTCTTCATCACCGTCGCATTTACCATGATCTTCATCTTCTATTTCGCCATCTTATAATCATACTAATTCTCGTTTTCTGAAAACTCGGTTGGAAGATAATGAACGAAGAGGCATTATCTTCCTCAAACTCAACTTCAATCTCTTCAGATTCACCATCTTTATCTTCTGCTTCATCGTCATTTTCTACGTCTACATCTAAACCAATCGATTCATCAACTATTCAATCATCTTCACCTTCTGATACTCTTCATTCATCTTATCGCACTACTTCTCAACCTACACCTCACTATTCGAAATCGACTGGATTTATTACGTCACGCGATTCTTATAATTCATCTTATAATTTTTCCCGAAATTGTTATTTAACTGCTGAAGCTAAGGTAAATGATGTTTCTGGTATTGTCTTACTTGATACCGGCTCTGGTGTTACAATTATTAGTTCTAAACATTGGAAAATTATTGGTACATATGATTTTATTGGTGCTTATAATGGACCTGATATTCAAGGACCTGATGGAAGTTCAATTGGTGCTGAAGGTTTAGTTTCCGTTAGAATTACAATGGCTGGTATTACTATTCAACACTCTGCTATTCTTGCTAAGAATTTTCATCAACTTATTTTACTTAGTAATGGCTATATGAAATCTATCGCTCTTGTTCTCGATCTTCAAGCAAATAGAATGTGGCTTCGTTAATATCCAGAACAATATCAATCTCATCTGATCTTACTCATGCTGGTCGTATTGATGCACCTGTTATTTCTACCGAAAAACATACTATCGCTCCATATCATATTGCTTATATTCAAGTTAAAGTTCCATCATCTGTTGCCTCTCATACGTGGGATGCTTCTATCACCGGTCATCGCTCTCATATTGCTACAGCTAATAGTTTAATTCGATTTACCGATCGTAAATCTGTCGCACAAACCGCTAACTGTTCTTCTCGTCAACAACTGGTTTATCGTGGTCAACATATTGCTTTGGGCGATCTTTATCTTGATGACTTAATTTCAAATATTGCCATACATTCACTTGTATCTTCATTACCAATTTTATCTTCATCAACAACTTGGGAATCACCGATACTCTTATCAACAATAAGGATTTTTCATCAATTCATCATCTACGAATAATGAACAGACAATTTATCATATTGATGAACAAAAATCGGGTTCGTTAACTTCTTTTTCTCATGCTGAACTTGACTTACGTTGTATTGATTCTAACTGTCGTTTATTTTCTCATTCTTGTTCGTGTTCTTCTTCTTCTTCTACTCCTGCTTCTTCATTTATTCTTTCTGCTCCTTCGCCAGACTCTCCTACTCTTCAATCACAATCATATATTTCTCATGAACCACCAAATCATATTCTTTTCCATACTCATTCATCTTCTTCTCCAAATCTACATTAGAACATATTTCTTTTTCTCAACTCGTATCTTCTCATTGTGAAAGTAATTTACCAGATTCTATTATTCATGATTCGTTATCTTCAGCAGATCTTAGTTTTCTTCAATATCTTAATATTACTGATACTGATATTACTGAACACTAACTTATTCAACTGAAAAATCTTCTTACTAAATATCATACTTGCTTTTGTAATAAGCCTGGCCATACATCATTAACTCAGCATCATATTGATACCAGGCCGACATGACTGAGTGGATATGTTGTTCGGCACATATTCATAATATACTGTGTTCAAACCTCAGTATCAGCAGTTATATAATGACCCTGGACAAATCACTAGCGGCTACTTGTCTCGGATGACTCATCCGATAGTGTATTGATTGCATAGCTACTCAATGTACAGAGTCAAAAACAACCCCATCATAGATGTCACAATCACGTAATACTTATGGTGATCGCCAACCCTTATGGAAGAAGCGTTGGACGGAAAGAAGTGCAGATACCGTCGTCCGTAAAAGAAAAAGACGAAAAAACCAGCGCACGTGGACCTCAGCGCTGGCCCCAACGGCCGATAAGTCTATGGGAGCTATTATTATTATTATTATTATTATATATTGATACCGGCACTATTAAACCAATTAAATCACGTCCATATCGTGTTTCTCCCCAACATCAACAAATAATTTCTCGACATATCAATGAAATATTGATCGATGGTATCATAGAGTTAGCTAGTGGTCCTTATACTGCACCAGTTACTTTACAGTCGAAGAAAGACGGTTCTTTACGTTTTTGTGTTGATTTTCGTCAACTAAATTCTGTAACTGTTCGTGATGTTTATCCGATTCCTCGAATCGATGACACTCTTGATCAGTTGCAGGCTACCAAATATTTCACATCCTTGGATTTAAAATCCGGTTTTTGGCAGATAGAGTTAGATGATGAAAGTCGTCCAAAAACTGCATTTGTTACTCATACCGGACTTTTCCAGTTTAAAGTAATGCCTGTTGGTCTTCCCAATGCACCCGCGACATTTCAACGTCTCATGGACTTGGTGCTTGGTGGGCTCACATGGTCTTGCGCTCTAGTCTAGCTCGATGATATCTTCGTTTATTCACCAACTTTTCAATCTAATCTACAGCATTTAAATTCTGTATTAGAACGTATTCAATCAAGTGGTCTTACTCTACATATTTCTAAATGTCAATTTTGTAAGACTAAATTAAAATATCTCTGTCACGTTGTTTCACAAAGTGGCATAGAACCTGATCCTGATAAGGTTCATGCCGTACGCGACTATCCAGTTCCAACTAGAATCAAGGATGTTCGTGCATTTCTTGGTCTTACTAGTTATTATCGCTGCTCCATTAGAAATTATGCTACTATTCCTGAACCTCTTATTTCATTGACTCGTAATATAGATAGCAAACCATTTCTATGGACATCATCTTGTCAGCAAGCTTTTGATCATCTTCGTCATCTTTTAATTCAAGCTCCTATTATTTCTTATCCTCAATTCGACAAACCTTTTATTCTTCAACTTGATGCTTCTGGTTTTGGTCTTTCCGCTATTCCAGCTCAAAAACTAATCGACGACGATAGTGTTAAACGTGAGTATGTCATTGGTTTTGCTAGTCGAACACTTTCCTCATCAGAACGTCATTATTCACCTACCGAACGTGAATGCCTGGCTATTATATATGGTTGTTCACACTTTCGTCCATACCTTGAAGATATTCGTTTTACAATTTTAACCGCCCACAAAGCACTGAAGTGATTACATCATACGAAAGATCTTAATAGTCGTCTTGCAAGATGGGCAATGCAAATAGCTGCTTATGACGTCGATATTCAGCATCGCCCAGGCGCCGACGATGCCAATTGTGATACACTTTCTCGTGGTCCTGTTGACGATTCATCTATTTCTAATAACTTGTTGTCTTCTCCAGATTCATCTTCTTCATCATCATTTCGTGATCCTGCATACTTGCTCGTACTTGACTATTTTTCTCATGCTTCTTTACCTCCTCCACAACTTTCTATACCTATTTCACTTCATAATAATTTTACTACTTCATCTACAATTGCTTCTCCTCATTCTTTTCCTTCTTTCATTTCTTTTGCTAATGTACATTTTGGCGATAACATTCATTTATATGATGATATACGAACTGCTCAATGGCAAGATCCTAAACCTATTCCTCTTCTCAATTATTTACAAAATCAACAATTTCCAGATGATACTATTTTACAGAACATTCGTCAACTTGCCTCCTTTCATCGTGTTATCGACGGTGCTCTCTATCGTGTCTTTCGTCCATCGTCATCTTTTGTGGACGATCCTTCCTCTTCTATTACTTTTTCCGATCATATACCTTCTATTGATCATCAACAGTTTCGTCTCGTTATACCAAAATCAAAAATGCACGAACTTTTGTCACTTGCACACGACCATGCTACATCTGCTCATCTTGGACGAAGAAAACTCTTTTTCGTCTTTCTACTCGATTTTCTTGGCCACATATGCGTCGTGGTGTTGAAGCATACGTCTGCTCTTGCAAACTATCCCAACAGTACAAGGCTTCTAATAAAAATCTGGTGAATTAATGCGTCCAATTGTTGCCAATGAACCTTGGAATACTCTTGGGGTTGACATTGCAGGTCCTCTACCAAAGGCTGTCGTGGCAACATATATATATATTGGTCGTCATCGACTATTTTACTAAATGGGTCGAACCTTTTCCGCTTGCTAACACTAAAGCAAATACTATCGTTCAAATATTTCTAGATGAAGTCATGTGTCGTTTTGGTTTTCCTGTGCGTATAATTTCTGATAATGGTGTTCAATTTCTTTCTAATATATTTAACAATGGTTGTCATATTCTGGGTATCAAACACCTACGCACACCACTCTATCATCTACAAAGCAATTTATGTGAACGTGTCAATCGTACACTCAAGCCGTTACTAGCTGCTCTTGTACATAATGGCAGCAAGTCTTGGGATACTAAGCTTGCCCAAATCACATTTGCTCTACGTACTGCACCTAGTGATTTTACCGAACAATCTTCAGCATTTTTTTATGTTTGGACGACATTCTCGTCATTCATTGAGCCTATGTTTACCTCCACCGCGTTCACTTGATCAACACCCTGCTGAAAATGATCTGTCGGACTATCGTAAACGTCTACTTGTCAACTGCTACCAGCATACGTCACTGCTCGTGAAATTCTTGATATTTCTCATGAGAAACAAGCTCGTCAGTATAACCGGCATCATCGCCCAGTTCAATTCGAACCCGGTGATCTTGTTTGGGTTATTGGTCTTTCTGGTATTGCAAAGGTTAAATGGCGTGGCAAGAAACTCAGTCCACGGCGTGATGGTCCTTATCGTATTACTCAACGCCTATCTCAATTGACCTATTCTCTTATTCATACTATCACTGGCCAACAATTGAGTCCAATTGATGTCGATCGCCTGCACCCTCAAGATTACTCATTTACCATAGTTGATTGATTCTTTTCTTTTACCCTTTTGTTTCTCACTCAATCTCGCTTTTAACCGTTCATTTACATTTACCCTACTTGTTTTCAACAATAACATTTAAAAAAAAAGAAGAGGTTTTGCTTATCGCTGCTTTTCTTTTAATTGCGTCGTCCTCTCTTTCTATCTCCCTATCCGTCTCTCTGTCTTCCCTGCATTTTAATTATCTCGCCTACTCTCTTACTTCTTCTTCTGTTCAGCAGTAGACAAAAAATCGACCGGTGAGATAAATGCTCATTTCAAGCGGAGAAGTGTCGTTTAGGTCAAAAATGAATTTTTTCCGTTCTGTCTATAACAGAAGACAAACTATAGAAGTACAAGTCATCGCGTGTGTACTAAATTTATGTCGACCACTTTTGTCGTCACTGTTCAGAAAAGATATCCGTACATATACAACATATTCCATGCTATACAGAACTCCACACACACCAAATTTCAGTAATTTTCATTTTCACTTTCATTCTTCACATTCCATCTTTTCCAACGATTCATTGAAAACAACCTTATTACCATCTCTTTCACATTCGTCACGCATCACCACAAAACTATAGAAGTTTCCCCTTATGTCGTGAATCATTTTCGGCATCCTATCTTCATGCAAATTTTCCGATCATTGTCTTAAAAAAGGTAAACCCTAATTTAACCAACTGTGCATTTTCCCAGCATCCTTACTATGTCGCGAAACCATATTTCACTTACCAGCGAATACATCTACACTGATAAAAAAAAGCACCGAATGATAAACGTTTAAAGCGTTTATGAAAATGCAACGTATGAAATACCCTTTTTCTACCGTTTAGCAGCATACGATAAACCATTTTATGTACCCATCAAAAGACGAAATAGAAAGGTTTATCATAGCGTTTATACGACTGAACAACTTTGAAAGGGTGTATCATACGCTGCATTTTCATAAACCCTATCGAAGGTGTTAGAGTACTCTAACAAGTTATTTATTTATTTATTATTGTTTCGTCTTTATACGTTATGTATTTCTTCTATGTGCAATCCAACTCGAGATGCACATACGCCAATTGCTCTTTTTCATTCTTTCTTTCCTCTCTCTGCATATCTCTCTATTGTGTCTTCTGCCCTCCCGTGCGTGACGACGTAAATAATGGCACCATTTCTTCGACTGGAATTTAAGTGCATTTATAGAATGATGCACCATAATCTTTATATACAAAATAGTCTAGTTGAAGAAACAAAAGCCTTTTCTTCCTTTGTTTCTTCTCTCTCTCTCTTGTGTGTGTGTGTGGGTTGTATAGTATAAAGAGGAAAAAAAAGAATAATAAAGAAAAGATTTAGATTCAGATTAGGAATCGAAAATAGGAAATTTGTTGTTGAATGATTAAATAGAAACATAAATTTCTATTTTGCGAATTGATTTAAGTTACAGCGGGGCCTCTGTAACACTTTCTATCTCAGTTTTTTCAATATCTTCATATTAAACACAAAAATGTATGTTTATCTTTCCTCATTTTTACTGTTATAATTATCTACACTTCTATATTGTAAAAATCAAACACATGGCTAATGTAAAAATATCGATGATCGAATAAGACTACTTACCAGCCGATGTCAAAATGCTTATTTTTTAATGTGAGTCTACAAGAGTTATTACTTTGTATATATATAGGTGTTACATATTTTTTTCTTTTTTTGTGAAACACGATCTGAAAGGAGTGTTGAAGTATATAGGGTAGAAACTTGGACCCATCCCCCGACCTCCGGCCCCACCTTACCCCCACAGACCGTTACAGAGAAATTAATTAATCAGCTAATTGGTTAATTAATTAATTAATAATTATTAAAATTTTCTGTAACGGTCTGTGATGGTTTCTAGAGACTTCATACATCATAATACAGACCATGACACAGAAGCTCCACAGACCATCAGTGACCGTGATAGACGAATTCCAGAAAAGAAGTTTCATCGTGTTTCACATTCTAATCCCACAGGGATTGCGCTAACAGCTTTCTAACATAAAATGTTTATCTAAGTCAATGAAGTGTGACTCTAATTACGCTACTTCTTATTTTCGCGTATCAAAACATTTTTTCATGTACAACGCAACTTCACCACATAAGTGATTCATATTTTCCTTTCGGTTGTGACCAGTGCAAAACAAAAACGATGGGCATCTTATTATTTCTTTTCATCAAGTTAGCGCGTGGGTGACTGTATAAAATAACATTAGCCAGACACAGACCCTCACACCGACACTCTAAGAAACCATTTTTGACGCAAAGGTAAAATAATCAACCCCTGTGTGTAGAGTAATAAACCTTTCCGATCAAACAATAGAACAATCGATCTCTCTACGTAGAATGATAAACCCTTTCGATGAAAGAACGGAAATATCAACTCCTGTACGGTGAACAATGAACTTCTTTCAACAAAAGAGAAGTAGAATCAACTATCAACCGACGATAAAACTATCCATTGAGATGCTACGGTAGATAAGCCGATATTTGTCAGTAGAATAAAAGTACTTGTCAATGAAGAGGGATATAATCGAGCATTCACGTACAGTACTAAGCCCTTTTTATTAAGATGCAGATGAATCAACTGTTGAACATGGAATACTAAACCCTTAGCAGGAAATGGTAGCAAAGTCTACCTTTATGCGTAGAATAATGAACTGTTTCTGAGAAGGGTACACTGTAAAAAAAATCGGCTCTTTACTCAACCCCCAAAAAAGATTCCGGAGATTTCTAAAATCATCTAAAGGTGACCAAAGTTTCAAAAAAAGGATAACAAAATCTGCGAAACCTTTAAAGGTTCTTACCATGTGCCCAGGATAATGACCTTCTGCTACGAAACCTTCTTTTAAGTTTCGTAGAGCAGAAAAAGACTTCACAGATTTTTTATCCTTTCTTTGAAACTTTGGACACGTTTAGATGCTTTTTGAAATCTCCAGAACCTTTTTTGGGGCTCAGTAAAAAAACGATTTTTTTTAGAGTGTCGCTTACTCTACGCAGAAAGGCAAAATGATGTACCCTTTTAACGAAAAAGTAAAATAGTAAACCCAATAACGAAGAATAAAATACTCCTACCTTGAAAGCGAACAACAATCTACGATCATCCGTTGAAGGATATACTCTTATTTTAAAAATCGTAGAATAACGAATCTTTATGTACCCATCATATACCCCTTGAGTTTTCATAAACCCATAGCGTCATAAACCCTTCGACTAATAAACGCTAAAAGGGTTCATCACATCGGAATAAACCCTTCGACTAATAAACGCTAAAAGGGTTCATCACATCGGAATAAACCCTTCAAGGGTTTAATGGCGATTTTTTTAAGCACAAGGGTAGATCATTACCCGGATTGTTTTATCAGTGTATGTTCATTTCGATTACACATGAACCAATTTTTCGTCTATAGGAAAAATGATATTTCATTTAGCTTATCTAAACCATTGTTCCCATTGGATTTTTCATTTTTTCGCTACAAACTCATTTTCCTGCTAGTGAATATATATGTGTCCTCACTTTCGCAGCAATAGACAAAAAAATCGATTCGAGAGATAAATGTTCATTTCAAGCGGAAAATGCCGTCCAGGTCAAATTATGAATTCTTTTCCCGTTCTGTCTATAACAGAAGACAAACTATGTAAGTATAATTCAGCTTGTGTACACTAAATTTATGTCGAGCACTTTTGTCATCACTCTTCAGAAAATATATCTTGGGGCGTATACAACATATTCCATGTAATACACAACTTTACAAATACCAAATATGAGTAGTTTTCATCTTCATTTTCATTCTTCACATTCCTTCTTTCCCAATGATTCATTGGATTCCAACTTCTTACCAACTCTATGATATTCATCACGCATTACCACAAAACTAACAAAGCTTTCGCTTATATCAAAAATGATTTTCGGCATCCCATCTTCATGCAAATTTACCGATCATTGTTTTAACCAAAGTCAACCATAATCTAATCAACTGTAAATTTTTCCAACATCTTTAGTATCGTGCAAACTCATTTTTCTCTTATCGCGCATACAAGTACGCTCATTTTCATTACATACGAACCCATTTTTCTTCTACAAGAAAAATGATGTTTCATTTATCCAAAGCATTTTTTTCATTCATTTTTCATTTTTCCGCTGCGAATTCATTTTTCTGCTCGCGAATAGATATATATTCTAACTAAAGAACATTCACAAGAGCATTATTCTCTATAGGAAACATGATGTTTCATTTATGCAAAGCATTTTTCTCATTTATTTTTTCATTTTTCCGCTGTGAATTCATTTTTACAGTGGTGTGACGTTATTGGGGCAACGGTATATTTTCGTTACTGTTCGTCTGTTTAATGTGTGTATCGTAAGTTTAGTTTTGAAGCATTTTTGACCCGAGCGTCATTTTTCCGCTTGAAACGAGAATTTATGTCATCGATCAAATATTTGTCTAATCCTCGTTGTATCTACTGTTTCATTGATTAATTCTAATCTATTGAATAAATTAGTGAATTCCCATTCAAGTTTCATTTTCTTATTTACTTCATCTTGTCATTTCCCGTCATTATCATTGTGGCATTTGTCAATACTTAAACAGTCGCGTCTTCACCTAAATTTTAATCGTTTAAATAACGACGTGCCAGNCCCCCCCCCCCCCCCCCCCCCCCCCCCCCCAGGGATTTTTTCAAAAAGCATTTTTTCCTCAGAATTATACACAACATATATAAGTCGACTCAGTTTTTGAAGTACATATAACAATCGGATGTAAATCCAATATTTTCGCATTTATTTATGGTATTTTTAATATTCCAATCATATAAGTAGAAATTTTAGTTTTAACTTTCTCTTAAATCTGACTTTTCCTCGAATGTATAAAACAAGTCTAGATACATATTTCATCTTTGTTGTTGTTTAATAGTTAGTTACTTGAGTTCATTGGAATTGGCGGAAAAGGCAGAAAGGAAAAACGCCGAAAAGGAAAATGTCGAAAAAA